CGAGTATTTGCGTCGCCCTCCCTCAGCCACTTCACTCTGGCTTTCTATTTTCAGAAAGTTTCCTCATCAGCTAGGTGTTTCAGCAGTGCAGCCTGGGCCTGACTCCATTGCACTCGAGCCTCATCCAAATCTATCTCCTCAAGCTGCAACTCCTTTAGCCTTACTGCCTCCTCAACTTTGGAGACTTTCTCAAAAATATTACCAAATGCATCTTGGTTCCAAGTACGCAAGGCTTGCTTTAAACGTTTCAATTTGAGGAAAAAACAAAACATTCCATAACCAGCAGTCGGTTGATCCCAGCTCCGGCGAACCACCATGAGGAAACCGTGGTGATTCAGCCACATGTCTTGGAAGCGGAACGACTTCGGCCCAGTGGGGGGCCCTGGGGAGAGTTGTAGTAACTGTGGGCTATGATCTGAGGTAGCGCGATTAAGATGTTTCACTACGCTGCCAGAGAAACGACGTTGCCATTCCAGATTCATCAGGAGTCTATCTAAATGCTTCCAGATTCTCCTGCCTTGGCGGATACCAGTCCAAGTGTAACGACTGCCCGAGAAGGGAATCTGTTTGAGACCACAAGCAGATATACATTCGGCAAACTCAGTAATTGCGGTCAAGTCTTGTGCAGCCTGTCCGACATATTCATCAGCAGCCGCTACAACATTGAAATCGCCTCCTACAAGCCACGGCTTAGTCTCTATTTCCTTCGATATTAATCCCAGGGCTGACCATAAGGCGCGACGTTCAACTCGCGAGCATTTGCCATAAACAAAGGACCCGTGAGCAACAAAGTTCCAAGAATCATGGCAAACTTGCATGTGAATAAGTTGGTCATTGTTTACTAAAACATTTACAGCAAAACCGGACCTCCACATTACCCATATTTTATTGGTGGAGTTACATACCCCAAGGTGAAAGCCAAAACGAGACGTAAAGTCATCTAGCTGACTAGCATCAACCATCAGCTCGATGATGACTAGAAAAGTTACTGAATGTAAACGTAACAGCTTCTTCAAACGGCGAATTGAGGCACGGCCAGCAATTCCCCGGATATTCCATACTAGCATATTAATCATTAAGCAAAAGATGGGGGGAAATCAGGGCCTACCTTCGAAGACTGCCGGGTGACAATTGTTTTGGGCAAGTTCCAGAATCGTCTGCGCCGACCCCTTTTGGCTAATGGTGCCTCTTTGTGAGAAATAGGAAAAAGGTGGTCGATCCTCCTTTTGAAGGCTGCAAAGTCCTCCGTCAAAACTTCACGTGGACGAGTAGGCCTTTGTTGACCTTCAGCATCCGAAAGTGAGTCAAGAGTTTCCCTTCTGCATTGCCAAAGGCATTGATCATCCCTGATGTCGCAAGGAAGAGGTTTGTTCAGTACCGGTGGAAAGGCCGAGGGCTTTGGAGACTCTGAGGGGACCGGACAAGGCAGCGTTGGAGCATCAGAGGACACCGGGCAGGGAACCTGGGTCCCCTTGGGATTACTCACTACCGCTGGCGAAACCAAATGGGCAGAACAAGCAGCCGCTGCTTCTGCGATTGCCGCTGTAGAGCACTGCGGTTGGGCAGCCAAGTTGTGTCGTCCCTGGGTATCCGCATTAGAGAGGTGTTGTTGGGCGGATCCATGATCCCCGGTGTCAGGATGTACTTCGGCTGAAACCCTAGCCACAGTCAGCTCTGGTTCCTTAGGTTGATCTGTCGCCTCCAGCGGGATTGAATCCTTTGCAGACCAGACCTGTTGTTGCGCAGCCTGGCTATCCCGGTGCTTAACCACATGATCTTGCGATCGACAGGAACTGGCGGAGTGGCCAAGTTTCCTGCAACTTTCGCAATAATCTGGTAGGTTTTCATATTCTACCTTTTGCCAGAAACCGGACGACCCATTCCAAATCCACACCCGTTGGGGGAGGGACTGTAACAGATCAACCTCAACGCAGATGCGAGCCACACTAGGCCGCGACAATGTTGCCGTGGATGCGTCTAGGCGCAGGGGTTCAACAACCAATCGAGCAATGGAGAACAAAGGTTCTTTTCCAAAGAGGTGAACAGGGAGAAACGGGAGCCGGATTTAGACCGGTACTATGGAGGATTCGATATTTGCAGAGAATGTGGAAGACCACTTGAACACACGCATTGCGAAGCCTTGGAACGTCCAGAAACCGCGCAGCCAACATCTATGATAATCGTCTTCGAGGTCGAATCTGATTAAGACATGCCTGGGGTCAAGCAGTCCCAACGAGAAAGAACCTTTAAAGCCAACGGACATGAAGTCTTTCCGTAGACCCTCCATTGACGGCCTAACTCGGGAGAATTTCCCAATCAAAGCAAACTTTAGAGGAGATGATAAAAGACGAACTTCCTCCGCAGAGAAGGATACTGCTGGTTCACCTCGGTAGTTTTCGCGGGGCTTGAGACAGGAAATTGGATCAACAGCAGCAGAGGAAGAGAGTATATCAGCAAAGGAGCGCTTCGAAGACGTGGGGTGTGGGGGATGCCCTTCACCCATGGGATGAAGGGCAGCCATGGCTGATATTCAAACAAGGAGGGCAGCGGACCTAGAGAGAAAATGGCAAGACTTAAAACCTATATCAAAACACAATATAAATAATACATATAATTGACATGTTATCACAAGTTAATCTTCCTAATTGCTCTATCTCTCTGCTCTAGTTTTTGGAATTTGGGTTCGTAGAAAATAGTGGTGATGCCTTCAAGAGATTAGGTGGTTTCTTGAGATTCGTTGTAAGCACCAAATGGAATTTTTTTCATTTTCAGTTGTTATTCTTTTCTCATCTTCCCCAGAAGACACAAAAAACATCTTGATTTGGTGCTCCACCATAGCCTCAAGCCCTCACCTCACACTAAATCCTCACCCATAGATATTGTTAATTGTTTAATCCTGACTCGGGTATTAACGCGAATTCCAGGAAGAGCAGTATCTAACCACTAATACTTCAACCCAAATTCTGTAAAATCACATGGGAATCATAACTCCATCCATTATAATATATCTACTCCACATACCACTTTCCTCTAGTTTGAATTGCCCTACAACAAATAGAGGAAAAAGGAAAGAATTTAGTTTCTAGATAAATCACAAAAAAAAAAATTTATCACCCCAAATTTGATCTTGATTGGTAACCCGTCTTCCCTGTCTTGATTGGTACCCCAAATTTACAAACCAAGAACCACTGTCCCTAGATTTCATTGGGCCTCTCCCCCCCTCCAGTGTAGGTTAATATAGGAGTAGGAGTAGGAGTAAGCTAAACTAACTGTTACCGTCTAATTAAAAAAAAAAATCACTGTTTCCCTATTCTCCGCTATTGGCTCCATAGGTACAACCACTAGCCTAATTCACTTCATCCATGTCTTGGGCAGACGCCGCCACCACCAAGTACGTAATGCGGCGGGCGTTGAGCACCAAAGCAAAAGTCTCCAACACCTTCACCATATCACGATGTTCGGTCCTCACAGACATTAAACCCTCCAACTCCAAGTCCATAGATTCTCAATTGAGCCATCTCGTAGTCTGGTTTCAATATCTACTATTTCAATGTCATTGCATGTTTCATTAATTAGTTTGTAATTTGTACTTTTGTATTGCTTAAGGATTTGGCTCTTCAACCGTTGCCGTCTTTATGTAGATTTGTTGGAAGAGAAGGGAACAACCAAACAAGAAAGGAACTTGTGAAGAGTGCTTCTTTTATGAAATAACATGTATGTCCCTAGTTTATTGGTATATTTGAGTTGCAGTGACGAGTTAATGAAAAAGTGTAATTATTCTGTTAACTTTACACATTCCGTTACCAATTTGATTTACCAATTTGATTAAAATGGCACAAAATTAAGAGTTTATGGAGTTAAATGTATCAAATTGAAGTTCAGGGACTAACGTGGGAGTTGCAATATAGTTCAAGGGTGCAAAATAAAATTTACCCTTTTTGTTATTAGCCCTGTACCTTTTTTGAAAAGAACAAGAATTATGTTGGTCTAAAATACTTTCGTTTAGGGATAATTTCAGAAAACTTCCCTTGAGGTTTTTAACAATTTCACTGTCATTCCCTAAGGTTTTAAAAATTTTATTTACCTCCCCCGTCAGTCAGTTGGGACCCAATGTTTACATCACTAATGGCCATATGACTTTATTATCCTTATAATTAGGATTATTACATGTATATGTGAAGGAAAAAAGTTACAATTTTGCTAACTACATTAACCATAATTTGGATTGTAAAAAGTTAATTAATTTTTCATCTAAACATAGAGCCAATATTAGGTGCATCTTTATTAATTTTTATATACTTGACAAATAAAGAAATTAGACGTAATGCAGTTGATAAATTAAAGGATTTAGACATGAGAAATAATTAATTAATTTACAAATTGAATTAACCATAATTTGAAATGTAGAAAAAAACTAATTTGGCATCTAAAGCAGATCCAATACTAGACATCTTTTTCTCCAATTTATGCACTTGATAAATAAAAGGAATAAGATATAAAGAGATTTCACTTGAGTTGATTTTTCTTATAATTGTGGTGATAGCAAGAATCTTCAGGTATGGGAAAATAGGTTTTTGTTAAATCTTGAAAGGTTTTATTTTTTGTTATGGATAATGGAAATTTTTTATTGATCATGTATAGTAATAGCCACATAAGTAAAGTAACAAGTTAGATCAAATATTTAATCTAACTAATATCATAGTTGAGGGACACTTTTAGCATAAACAAATCTTCTCACGTCTGAAATTATCTTTTTATTGTTGTTTTTTTTTAATTGGACTAAGTTGTTATAAGAAAATTGATTTCGGGAGAGGTTAGTGATATTTTTAGAATAAAAAGAAAGAACAATGAAATTATTAAAAATCTCCTGAGAGATTTCCGAAATTATCCTTTGGTTTATGTAACCAGGATTGGGGATCTGCAGCTGCAGGGCCAACCGCCCACTACAATGGACGGCTGGCCCAATCTCCTACCGTCCATTGCACCCATAAATGATTTCACCGCTTCGTTTCTCAACTCATTTCTCTTACTCACAACTGTCGCATTGTCCTTTCCTCTGACAAAGGCGAAGAAAAAAGCGTGACAGAGACGGACAAAAAGCTTGAGTGATCGTCCCTTCCATCTTCCAAAAAGCTTGAGTGACCATCTTCATTCCGAGTAGTGGTAACCCCCATTTTCTCTCTAACCCATAGTTTCTTCGTCTGGGCTCTGCTTATTTTGTTCTTTTCTTTGCTCAATTCTTCTCTCCCGCTGAATCACGTTTTCTTGTATGAGTCTTCTTAGCTGCTTTCCCCACTAAATCAAGCAAAGTTAGAAGCAATTTGGAAATTTTTGAGAATGTGGTTCTTGTTTATCACTTAAATGTTCTAGGATTCTTTTCTTTGCAGTATTCTGTTCCTTTTTCTTTTTCTTTTTCTTTTTGGTTTGGCTGTCTTTTGCTTTTCTGCAGACTGCAGGTCTGGAGTTTGTAAATTTTTGCCTTCTTTGCTATCATAGTTTGGATTTTACTGTGTTTATTATTTGGTGACTCCTCATAAAACTTAAGACTAAATGGTTAGTGTTACTTAGCTGAATTTTCCCCGAAACCAGGACGTGACAAGAAAAGTTGTGCAGATTTATCCAGATATTGTGTTGGCAAATATTCTTTTAATTTAAAGAGCTAGTTATTGAAAGAAAACAGCTGAGTTAGAGGTGTAAAGGGTCAATGTTACTTAGCTGCCAGCATGTGGACATTATGAGAGAAGAGTTGAAGAATTGTGTTGAGATGTAGTACTTTTTTTTTAAACATTTTTTTGGTTTAGGCTAATAGTTGAATGGAAATCAAATGATTGAGATTGCAAGCTTTGGCATTAAACTGAACAAGTTGTTGTCACGAGTCATACTATAGAAAATTTGTATTTGATGGTTTTTATGTTCAAAAGTTAGGAGTCTTCAAACATTAGTGCAAATTCCATTAGATGGTAAAATGCTAATCTGCCACTTGCGTAATTGTCATGTTTGTTTGTTGAACAGATTTTTCATCTTTATTGTAGCAGCCAGGAAAAATGCTTAGCTTTTGAGGATTTATGATCTTTGATTTTTTCCAATTTTCAGGTACTCATATGCCTCTTTTTGACAACTATGGTGAAGATGCTTTGTCTAACTGCACAGATTTCCTTGGTTTTATGTTGTTTTCCAAGTTGAAATTTTATGATACTTGCATTACTGGTTGCACGAATTTTATATTTAATTGTCATACTAGGATACAATTGACTGGTTGTTGGCCTGATCGCGCTGTTTTGGTGCATATGTGCATGTCTACAAGCCTATATACCAGATATGCCAACATGTAGATAGTTATGACATTTTTATCTGACCATAGTTTTGTGGTAAATATTGATGGAAGAACATTTAGATATTCTTTTGGTGCATACAGGTCATGGCCTCATCTGATGAAGAAGGTGAGATTGTACCAGATTCCGTAACGGAATACTACTTTGTTGACCACATTGGGGAACTGGTTTCCTTTTCCACGCTGCCGCTTAAGTGGAATGATGGAGAGATAACAGAGGAGCTCTGTACGAAGATTTATGTATGTGGGACTTCTGATGATGGTCTTCAGCAAATATATAAGAAAGTCATTGCATGGAAATTTGATATTTCTTATGTCATGCCTGAAGTATATGTGCTTTCTAAGGAGAAACTGTGGGTAAAACTTTATCGACCAAGAAAGGGTTATGAAGAGACGATCAAAACAATACTGATTACAATTCACTTTCTCCACTTTGTTAAAAAAAATCCAAGTGGATCTCAAGATGCCCTGTGGAATCAGATACTGAAAACCTTCAGGCATGCGTAATTTTACATTTCCTTTCTAATCTTGTTGGTTAGTGTTGTTTGTTTCTTTTGCTCACTAAATCATTTAATGTAGTACATTTGAGATTCTGCCATCTGAGAATGATCTATTGGGTCACATGCCATTGATCAATGAAGCTGCATTGAGGGATAAAGATCTTGCAAAATCTGAGGTTAGTTATATTATCATTACTCTGAATACACCAGTTTATGGATCCGTCTTATGCATCAACTGGTTTTTACTCATCTTCTCTGACTTCAACCAAGATTAACAATGCTATCTATTCAATTTGAGAACCTGACTCTCATTGTCATTTATCAGATTGTAATAGATTTGCTGCTGTGTTTTTTGCATAACCAGTTTACTTGCATGAGTAATTGGTAAATTACACTTCTAGAATTGACCACTATTATCACTTTGTTGATCAACTGCTTTTATATGTAACTTTGGACCAAAAGTCACAGTGCTTCCTAAATAGCACCAGTTACTAAAACACCTAAATAGTCAAATTGTACTTGACTATCTAGTTGGTAGACAAATAAACCTTGCCACTATACTTTTTGTTTCCTTTCTATAAGCCCTTTCTATTGGTAAGAAGTTGCACCTTTAAGGAAAGTATTTCAAAAAAAAAAAAAAAAATTGAAAGGAATACATTGCAGCCAAGGTGAATTGCTGGAAAATTATCAGCAGTTATAAGTATTGTAATCACCTGTTGACTCGCTTTCTGCCATGTTGTTCCTTCCCTCAGTATCCAATGCATGTTTTACTTTCATTTCTTAGACTTGAGTTTTCCATAATGATGTCAATCTTTTTCAGTTTTTAGTAGTGATTGAGTCACAATAGCATTAGGCATATGGACAATAATGTCTTTTGCAAAGATTAAATTAAAGTCAACATCACACCAAATCCTTCCCTTCAGCATTATATGTATTAAGAAAGTGCGATATCTGTTATCTTGATCCTTAACCAAGAAAGCGTTTCTTGGTAACACATCTTACTACCGTTCTATGTACTTACATTAGATTAATGAAGTAGACTGTCCATTTTGAAATGGAGGTAGTAGTAAACTACATTAGCTGGAAAACCATCGCTGCACCAAAAATACATCTGCCCAATCTACTTTGCTGACATAATCCTAGTTCTCTGAGTGACGCTTCAGATGGCCTCTCATAATCAGCATTCCTATGCAGTGACATCCTATTGCTGTAATGGGACATCAGAACATGCAATGGTTGCTGTGGATATGAATGAAAAAATTCTTTCCTATGATACACCAGAAACCCGAAGAGATTGCCACAGAGAACCATTTTAGGATAGTGATACTTTGTTCCTGAATTGCACAAGTTAACATGTAACCCTCATCTTGATGTTTGCCATCTTTTTCCCCCTCCATTTTGAGGTATAAACTGTAATTCATGACTCATCAAATTCTACATCCAATTGTGTGCATTTATGCCGCTGCATTATTGTGATGGTTGTGATTAAATACTGTCAGATTATTGATACTCAACAAATGTGCAAAGGTATTCTAAGTGTTTCCCAAAATTGTCTGCTTTTTTGCTGCTAACAATTACAATTTTTCTGACAGTATATGGCAACTTTTATTTCCAAGATGCATGATAAGAGAGAAGCTGCCAAGGAAGTCTGTGCTACGCTATATCCTCCTTTTCCCTCATTTGGTGCTCATTAGATTTCTCTACACCTAGAACTTACTTGCTTTACGCTGCAGGACACTCAAGCTTTAAAGAATCTGAAGTTTGTTATTGATGATTGTGATGATGATCTTTTTGATCCTGTCTGTGCATACTGTGATGATGGTGGTGAAATTTTGTGGTATGCAAGATTTTCCTAGTCTCTGTCATTTAATCCTATTAGGAGATTGATAATCAAAATGATTAAAGGATGTCATATTCTGGTTCTTTTCTGCCGGTAATGGAAGGGGAAAGAACTAAGGTGATTCTTGTAGAAATGTGTTGGATACACAATTTAGCAGTTTGCTAGTCCTGCAACTTTGTTAAATGGATATGCACCATGATCCTACCCAATCATCCTTTTCCTTTTCCTTGATCAACATGCTGACCTGCCATTGGATTTATTATGATTTAGCATGTCTCTTCCTTCTAATATTGTACTCACTGTTGGCGGACAGTGTACACCATAAATAATTGGGTAAAACCTTTATGTTTTCATTCACTATGTAATCCACAAGTTTTCTCTTCACATGCCTGACATCATACCAGGGTTAATTTAATGTTGTTATTCTTCCCTTTTAGCTTGTATGCTTTTACCAGAGCTGTTTCTGACTTTTTATCATGTCATTTTGCGTTACACACATTGCAGTTGTGAAGGAAGATGCTTAAGATCCTTTCATCCTACCAAAGAATCTGGAGCTCATTCATTTTGTGAATCTCTTGGCTATAGTCACCAACAAGCAGAAGTAGGAGCACTTTTAAGCTCATAGCCTCATTTTTGTGCTGTTGTAAGTAGTTCCCTGGCACTTGTTTGGAACTAGCTAACTCAGAATTTTTGTGTTGTGAATTCCTTTTTTCCGACGGGCAATTCAGATTTTCCTTTGCAAGAATTGCCAGTATCAGCAGCATCAATGCTTTGCTTGTGGCTTATTGGGTTCTTCCAACAAATCTTCTGGGGCAGAGGTGAGTATCTTACATATGATTACTAGATTACATATGATTACAGCATCACTGGAGGGCTTCTTGATAATGCATTCAAATTTGTTGGAATATTATAGTTGTGGCCTACGTCCATCGAGTTGTAAAGATAGCGTACATGTCTGTAAGTAATCTGGCATTATTGGAGAATAAGTACATGCCTCCAATATGACTACGACATTGTTGGAGAGCACTTGATAATGCATTCAAATTTGTTTGGATATTCTAATTGGGGCCTAAAATGATGCTTTTGCTTGGATGAATAAGCAATCTGTCATGAATTATTCTAACTGCATAAATGCAAACAACCTGCTGCTACGTGTTCAGTAACTTTTGGTGGTATCTTATGGTAGTTAATTTCAACTTCCTCAATTAGACTAGCTCGTTTTGTAAAAGCAACAGTTGTCTTATTACACTAGTAGCGCCCTTCTCCAGGGTATATTTGACTCTGATATAGAGTCAATGAGTCAATTGCATCTATTTACCCACTAAATTTTCTAATTTTTCAGCATTTTCTATCCTATGTCTCTCTGGATCACCTAATACAGGCAAACGAAAATCCGCACACCCTATGGTAAAGATGGGTGGCATGAAAGTGGGTATGACTGGAAGATACAACGCAGGGATTATGAGGAGTGGAAACGAGGGTATTGCTGCTGTAAGAAGTGGTTAGAAGTAGGCTAGGAGAGTTAAATAGAAAGGACAGAAGATACTGCAAAGAAAGCGGGGAGTGGAGACAGCTGGCTGTTGAATGGTTCTAGGAGGAAAGAGGCTGCCTTGGGGGGAGTGGGGACAGCAGTCTGGCTGTTGAATGGTGCTGGGAGGAAGGAGGCTGCCTGGATAAGGGGGATGTGGATGGATCTGCGAGGTGTTTGGGGGTGGTCACTGTGCATTTAGAAGAGGTGGGGGGTGGCAGTGGGTAAAAAGAGGATTGATTTGTCATGACTGGAGCTTGTAGTTGGCCTGAAGGAGATGGCTACTGGATTTGGGAGGTGAGTGTTGAGGGGATTGTAATAGGCTGCAAGGGTACGGGCTTGGAGGGGAAGGGAATTTGGTAAGGTTGTATTCTTTTGAGGACAAATACATGTAAGACTAAAAATTAGATTGATAGGTTGTATTAAAAAGAAAAATTTTTGAAACATTCTGGAGATAGATTGATGAAATTGAAACATCAGGGGACTAGGCTGCACATCGATGATCCTCTCATCTCCTTAAGTTCTCATCTTCAGTTTGGCGTTTACTCAAGACATGATGAGTGCTTGGCGTTTACATTTGCAAGAGATGTATAACAATCACCAAACATGAAGCATTGTTATGTAATAATAGTAATTTGCACTAGATAGAGGGAAGCCCTCAATTTTTGTGTGGCTAGAAAGTCCAGCATCATGATTCAGAAAAATACACAGCTCAGATTTTAGTGTGAAGTTTACAATTTCTATGGTAATGGAAATTGAAAGGTGAACAGATTAGTTGCTCTTGAATATTCTCTTTCCAGAATGAATTCTGTGGTTGACCTGCATTTAGTTTCGGTCCTTATTCTGTTGGATTGTGAATATGTTTCTAAATTCTTCTATTTCTTTATCTTCCTTTGACTTGCTGGAGCATTTAGCTTGAAGCCTTTAACCAATTTATCTCATCTTTTCAAGGTCTTCCCTTGTGTTTCTGCAACTTGTGGGCACTTTTATCATCCGAAGTGTGTTTCAAAGCTCCTTCATCCATCTGATGTTACAAAAGCAGAAGAACTTTGCAGTAAAATTGCTGAAGGAGATTCATTTACCTGCCCTGTACATAAATGTTTTGAATGCAAGCAAGTTGAAGATAAAAAGGTCTATGAATTGCAGTTTGCAATTTGCAGACGTTGCCCAAAGGCATACCACCGTAAATGCTTGCCCAGGTTTCCAAATTTAATTTTCCTATTTGAGGTTTCCATCATGCTGTTTGTGAATTTGCCCAGAAGACTTCAGTTTCAGATAATGGTAACTTTTTCTTTATGGAAATATTCTTGTCAGGACTATAATGTTTGAAAGCGACAAAGAAAGAAAAATTTATCAACGGGCTTGGGAAAATCTTTTGCACAATCGTGTCTTGATTTATTGCATGTAAGTTTCTTTGAACTTACTGCTCGAGTTTTTGCTCATTTAGTGATTCACTTGTTAAATGCCAAGCACTTCTTTGTCTAGGGACCATAATATAATTCCTAAAATTGGAAGTCCAAAAAGAAACCATATAGTCTTTCCTGATGTTGATACAAAGAAGCCGCAGCATACTTCAGGGTCGCTACCTGCCCAAGTGCAGGTTGTGTCTGGAAGGAGAAGTAAGGTTCTTGAGTCTCTTGAAGAAAAACCTGTAGCAAAAATGAATTATCGGTTAAAGGGAATTCATAGCAACTTTAAAGTTGGTAAATGTGTTGAAAATATTGAGAAAGGAGTTCGCAAACTAGTCCTGGTAGGAAAAATTGGATCCTCTCCAAACTCTTCCAAGGATAATTGGATGCCCGTCAGGGACAAATACAGGCAATCCATAGCGGATAAAGGTAAGTCACATGTAAAAGATGATCAATTGAAGTTTAAGAATGAATCGAGTGGCAATATTGACAGCACGCAAACAGCGACATCTGCTACAAACAAGGCACAAAGGATTGAGCCGTCAGGAAATGCAGAAGCAGATAAGAGGTAATTGTCTTGGTCTTCTTTTTGCCTATTATAGAAGCTGCAATCTTAATGCCTTTCCTTTCTTTCAGCATCAAAAGAGTATTCTATTGCATTATACCTCTTTATGAAATTTATTAGTTTAAGTACAACTTACCACTTTGCAGAGTACTTGCATTAATCAAAAGGTCCACTGCATCATTTAATCAAGAAGAATTTTTAAAGCAGAAAAAAAACAAAAGCATAGGTGTATACTCAAAATCCATGGATGACAAGAGCATGACCATGGGAAAGGTGGAGCACGCTGTAAAGGTACTGTCTTAGCTTACATCTATTGCTGACAACAATAGTTTAATAATGTTGAAGATATGTGTAAATATCAGGAAAGATATGATTATAGTATCATGTATTAATTAGGTATCATATGATTATAGTATCATATATTAATTAGGTAGTTACACTTGTGTATATATATATGTATATTGTGTAGTCCAAAGGAATGAAAAAAAGTATTTTCTCTCCCTTTTTCTTAGTTTTCATGGTATCAGAGCCCTACCATCAAGGTTAGGGTCTCTGTCCGCTGCCAGAAAATTCATTAGTCATCATTCGGTTCATCTGGTTCTGTATAGGACACATCTGTGTTCTATTCTTCACTCTTGTTTTAAAGAGTTCAGATCTGTCCTTTTTTTTTGTTAATTCTGAACCCATGGCAAAAACGAAATCTGTCGTTACGTCTGATGTGGTTCCTGTGATGTCTAAGATCACGGACCACAAACTCAACAATTCTAACTATCTTGATTGGAACAAAACGGTTCGTCTTTATCTACGAAGCATTGATAAAGACAATCATCTGACTGATGATCCTCCAAAAGATGGTTCAAGACAGACATGGCTAAGGGAAGATGCTAGATTGTTCCTACAAATACGGAATTCTATTGACAGTGAGGTAATTAGCTTAATTAATCACTGTGAATTTGTTAAGGAGTTAATGGAGTATTTAGAATTTTTGTATTCTGGTAAAGGGAATATTTCTCGCATATATGAGGTGTGTCAAGCCTTTTATCGTGCAGAGAAACAAGATAAGTCCATCACGACTTATTTTATGGATTTTAAGAAAACTTATAAGGAGCTTAATCTGTTATTACCGTTTAGTTCTGATGTAAAAGTTCAGCAAACTCAACGGGAACAGATGGCAATTATGAGTTTTTTGGCTGGTCTTTCACCTGAATTTGAAGCTGCTAAATCTCAATACTTTACCTACCTGCACTACATTTACTTTCAGCTTTATTTTTCTTGCCAGATAAGCTTATCTAGAACTCTCTGTGTGTGTGTAGTGTTTTTCTTTTTCTTATTTTTTATCCTCATATTCTCGACATTACATCTCTGTTGTGAAGTGGGCTTAAATGTCCTGTGATTTTAGCTCTTCTTTAAGCTAAAAGCTGTTATAAATATAAGGTGTTCTCAACTGGAAAAAAGCTGATTCTGAATCCCAGCCAGTACAGTGCGCATGAGAGAGCTTTTGACTTTTTCAAAACATTTCAAACAAGTAAATATTATAATTTTGTCCAACAAGTTTTGAAGGACGAGAAGCTGTAAAGAAAAATCCCTTTGTTGGAGAACAATCATTCTCAAGTCCATTAGTTGACATCTTCTAGTTAAGAGTTTTCCTTTGAGAATCTTTTGGTGTCTCAAAATAGACGAACTCATCAGGTAGCAGCTTCAAAGTGATATTGCATGCAATATTTTGGATTTTGCTGCAATTTGTCCTTGATCTCTCAAACCAGCTTTTACCGGGAAATTTCAACAACTTGACCATTAAAAAAGAGCCCACCAGACTCAGGAATCAAGTAAAATACCTTCTGTTTTTTCCCTCTCTCTTAATTGGCTTAAATCCTTTTGTTCTAGGATCATTGCATCTCTCTCCTTCAGAGAACATGGTGGTCAAACTTTAAGTTCTAGTGCCAATATTCATGCAGCAGGTTATGCATGTTGAGAGTGGCATTTGAATTCAATAATTGCAAGAACAAGAAGTAGAGGAGCAGGAAACAAGGAATTCTAGTTCTACTTATGATTCACTAGCAGTAGCCTGGTAGCAAGAAAGGATATCTGAGAATATAGTTACTCAAATCTGCAAAAGGTTAATACTACGAAATCATTGTAGAATAAATATCTCATGCCCTGTTGCTGAAGATGGCATACTATAGATTTCTTGGCAATAGATTAAACTACCTAAGCAAGACTACTTATGGTTCGATGCATTATAGTTAACTTCAGTTAGATTTATAGAGTTTAGACCCAATCCACATTGGAATAATGTTTCAATATCCTGCAATCAATGTAGCCTCAGTCAAATCATCAAAGGTCCATTTTTACATGTACCAATTCACACACAAGACCTGCGGAAATTTTAATTGCAAGTCCTGATGGTTCAAAGTTCACAATTTCAATATTAACCTAATGTCAATTCTATTTATTCTTCCACTTAATGACTTAAGTTCATAATGAGTTTGTTTGGATAGGAGTTTATTTGGATGATTTATTTGAGATAATTACTGTAGCACTTTTTGTGATGTGATGTATGTGAGATAAAAAAGGTGATTGGGAAGATAAAAAGGTGGTTGAAATTTGTGAAGCAAATTATTTTATCTGAAATCAAGTTAGTCCAAACAAACCCAATGACTTAAGTTCACCACTCTTAAGTTTTACCAAGTAGTTGATATGATCTTTAGAACACTCGTATGTAGTACTTGTGAAGTATCTTTTACATTCTTTAGTTATTTTGCCTTCATAATGCAGTTACCCATATGCCAACCTATTGGGTTTAAGCAAAATTTTCCTTGTACCATGAATGTGATCCCATATGGTCAGGAAATGACGTACAATGGGCCAATTGTTGCCACTGACCCTGTTGGAGCCTTTTACATAGATAATATGAGACCCCTGAATGTTTATGTGTAGCTTGCACCCACTGCCTAATCCTCAAGACTAAATTTGGGAGTTGGAGATTTGAGAAGAAAAGAAAAGAAAGCGAGAGAAAGTTACAGTTTCAACTGCTTGGGAGTTTCTTAAAGAGAAACAAACTGATTTGGGAGGATCTGTAGTGGTGGTACAATTAGTAAGAATTTTCTGTCAAAATTGGGAAGAGAAGGGAAGAGAGTTGCTGGAAACTAATAAATCTTTTTAAAATCGTGATTTTATACTTAAATTGGATGTGATACAAATTTTTATTTGACTTATATATCTAATACCATTCCACTTCTTTCCTTGACTCTCAAACAATATTAGAATTTCGCCCTTGTTTTCTCTCATAATTTAAGGTTTCTATTCTCTTCTCCTCTCTCCTAAACTCCCAAACTAGGCCTAACTATGATTATATATATAGACACGAAATTTTTTGCAGCAATTCATTTTAAATCTTTGCCTTTTCCATATAGCCTCATTTACCTCATTTACATTGTATAAGTGTTCCTACTGTTGACTTTAAATACTTGATCCAACATAGCATTTCAATAAAGTTTTATCTTCCATAGGAAAACTCAGTTCTTAGTTGCCACACAATATAGTATTCTTATTTCGGCTTGACAGCTTGGGATCCTTTATTTCTTAACTTAAGATTTGTCCTTTCCAAGAAGAGGGGTGGGGAGAAGGAAGGCAAGAAGAGAGAAAACTACTAGGACATTAAAATATTGTACTACTACAACATATTAGTTTAGCACCCAGTGGAAAGACCTTGTGGCTATGCCACTGTTCACAACTGAAAGACTTATCAATTTGACTTTCCTTTGTCCTAATGCATTTTTTGTATGGAAATAGGAACTAAACATTTTACTCTAGGAACAAGGCTATAGTTCTTGAAAAACCATTATGATCATCATCTGCAACTTTAGCATCTTCCAATTTGCTGTATGCAGAGTTTGAAGGGGGAAATTTCTTTCTGCTTCATTTGGCCATTATTAACATCAGAGCAATTTATTGATATTTAGATTCATACTTAGTATCCATTAGTTTTTGGGAATTGTAAGTGCTTTATTGAAAACATTATGATTTACCAAGATAATTGCAAGTAGTTTTGGTCAGGAAAACTACCATCATGTTTGCCCCTCTTGACCTATTCTCAAACATTTGTTCACGTGCTGACAAGTTGATTTGGAACATTATCAGGTGAACCATTGGGAACATTAACAGTGTCAAAGCTTTTATTCAGGCATTTCATAAGCCATTGATGGAACACAATATGCAAAGAGTCCATTAGCCAATGACTGCAGCTTCAATTCTGCACAATTAGGTTGCTTGAGTTCACAGACTACACTGACAAATGAGTCATCTCAGAAGGACTCCTAGGCTCTTAATCCATTTTAAGGCCGTGATTCTGCTTTTTTGTTTGCTCTACATAATTGATAAGATATTGCCGAGAGAGAACCAAAAGAAACTTACAAATGTCCTTATTGAGGGCCAGGTGGAAAAAAATTATGTGTCAGGCTTCATATTGCCGTCCTTCAAAAAATTTCCTTGTGCCCCTGGATGGTGTAATTTTATCCTACACGTGGGATAACACGTTCTAGTGGGACTAGTCATCCCTTGTGAGAGATTCCATCAGAAAAGGGATAATGCTGGATTAATCAAGCCGTCGATTGTTGCCTGCAAAGTAAACAAACAGTAACAGAAAGTTGAGCTGAAGACGGCACTTTTTTATTGCTGAAAACAATTAAGTGAAAATCATAGAGCAAAGGGTTGAGAACATTTGAGTGCTTATGTTGGAACTTATATGCTTTTGTTCATGTTTTATGGGTAAATATATGAGATTGAGATGGTAAATAATTTCACTTGCCAGTCATAATTTTCCAGTTGTAGAAGTCACACTGTTATTTTCAAATTTTGGTATACTCAACTACATACCATTCAGGTTGAGTGACATGTTTGAGTGATGCTATACTCCTATAAGATTATGAGAAACTCTTCAATATTCCTTCATGATTTGTAATTTCTTGCATAGTTTCACAGCTATTTGACTAAGAGGTAAAAACACTAAATGCATGTTTTGTTCAAATTATGCAGCGCTACACTTCATTTGGTCGTCACTTCACCAAAGTGGATAAGCTGAAGGAGGCAAGATATATTGTCCCTTTGTATTAGGACATCTTTGTTGCTTACTCTTGAAATGCAATGACAATTAGGACGCCTTTCTAACTCTGACTTGAGGCTTTTGAACTTCTTTCCTGAATGACAAGTGGATAGGACATAGAAAAATTAATCAGATGCATGTCTTAGAATTGTGATGTGTGAGAGAAGATTGTTTTATTTGTCTGATTATTGCATGTACTCGTTCATATTCTGTACTTGTAATCAGAAACTTCACACTTGTGAAACTATGAAAATGAGAAGAAAGTATAAGTTTACTAGCCAAATTTAGAAATTAAAAAGGCCTCAATGTTGTTGGAGTAAAATGTTTGGGCTTTATTATAGTAGTTCTCTTCTTAACTTAGAATATTTTGAAAGACCAAACACACTGATGAGGTTTGGTCATATTATAAGTTAGACCCTGAAGTTTAGGTAAATCAAATTTATCTCTTAGAAAATAGTTAGAATAGAATTCTCATGGCTGTACTGTTTAATCTCATTTGACATGAAATTGTCAAAACTTGTTGGAAAGTAATCATATTCTCAATTGATTAAGAGAAGGAAGTAATTATGAGATGAAAAGCCAAAAAATTGTAGGAGAAAAAGTCTATCCCCTTCCCCACCAAGCTTCCTCATGTGCCACACATTGCACAGCTTCATTCATCTTTCCCTACCTCAATCTTGTTTCCTTTCCCTACCCCAGGATGTGCCATATATCTCTCTCCAACTCCCCACCTCCGCTTTTTCTTCCCTTCTACTCCTTGTTCTCCTTGATATACACAGCCATGAAAGCTGGCGCACAGAAACACATGATGCACATTCAAAAGATACATTATACATACACCACATCCCCAGAATGTGAAAAAAAAGGAAACAAGAAACAAAAGAAATAGAAAAGAGATGAACAGCAATGGACGCAGACCATGTATGAATAATTAATATGATATACAGGCAGAGAACTTTATTGTCCTTGCCTTTTGTGTTGTACGTTTGTACTGTTAGGTAGTTTGCCTTGGAGTGATGATTGTAGGTACTGGTAGGTGTTGTCAAAGTGATGGCTTTAGTAATTATGGTGGATCTATTTAGATGTGGAATTTGAAATATTGGTGGAAGGAAAAGGTACTTGGGATACTTAAATGTTATGTGAAGAGCAATAATGTCCTTTAAAGTACTGTATGGGCATTTCAGGGAGATTTATTTAAGCATGTTGTTATTGTCGAAATTCGTACTTGACTAATGTGGACTTAAAATTTTAGGCCTTTAACTGCTTTGGCTGTGTCATTCCAAAAGGCCTGTTAGTAGAGAAAGGGAGGCCTGTTAGTTACCTCCCTTTCTCTGCACAGCATGATGTGCTTCTATCCTATCATGTTTTGACTTGGATGTTGCGTTCTAATTGCTGTAAGCAATGCTTACTTTATTGGATTTCATACTGTTGATTGTTAAGGTTCAGCATAATTAATACTTTTTCCAGATGTTTCATTTACAGCAGCCAAGCTTTTTGGACCTTCTATTATTTGAGATCTTAACTAGAGACCTATGTGTATAATTCATCTTTCTGGAAAAGGAAAACAAAAGCCGCAGTATGATTGTTTATGTGTTTGTGCATACATGAAAGTACTCCACATTTTTTGCATCTTCGTTTGTTTTTGCATTTTAATATTTTCTTACAATTAGCAGTATAATGAACCATTCTTGCTCCCATCAACTTATCAATTTTCTGTTTTTATGGAATAGTTAGCTATATGTGCTCTTTGCTTTTGTTTGAACATAAATACCTGCTGATAAAATGCTCAATTTCTTTTCCAGGTAGTTGACAGGCTCCGGTGGTACGTTGAAGATGGTGATACAGTAAGATCAAACTGATCTCATATTTATCATCTACTTTGATTTTGTGTATATAGTGGGCAGAACTGTAGGTAGTGCAGAAATGATTTTACTCCTTTACATGAAAGAATTAGGTAGTGCAGAAATGATTATGTTGTTCCGCATGGCCAAAGTTCTCTGTTTCAGCAATTTTGTCTTTGGTGTAGACTTAATCCTCTGGTTTTATTAAACATAACCTATATCCTAGGCACCATTACTATATAGAACATGCTAAGTTTGATTGCTTTTAGCATTTGCACTATGGAATGATTGCATTGGAAACAAGAAGCAAAATGTGCATTTGCATGGTCTTCTTAAATGTTGTTTATCTGGGTGATGTATGAAGCATAAATCTGTAGATATCCATTTTCTGTGGAAACATGCCAAAGTCATCTACCATAAAATGTTTAAGAAACTATTGAACTTTTGCCACTCTGGATATCATTTCACCATTGTAGCTAGGCTGCACATTCCTAATCCTCGTGTTGTTTCGATGTGCTTGGCACTCTTCAAGTTTTAAATTTCTGACCATTTACTGAAATTCGCTACATATCCGCACAATACATGAAGTAATATGAACAAGTTTACTTCCTGAATATTATGGGTTAGGAGCAAGATAGTGCAACTGTAGTGTAGATTTGTCTGACTGATGGAAGAATTCAGGATGAAAATGGAAGTTTTCAACTATGTGCTTTCTGGTTTTATGAAACATGTACTTTCTTGAGTTAAATAGTATAGTGAGTTAGATGGTATGTAAAACAGGAAGAACTTATTTTGGCTGTCATGGTTTTCTTTGAAATGACTGGTTTAATCTTCATTGAGATTGCCTTGACAATCTGCAATTGGAGAGATTGCCTTGTTAAATTATTAAACTGCTGGGGGAGTCTTTTGTATCCTTGGCATCTGTAGTATTATGGCTGTTCATGTTCTTTTGATTTCATATCTGATTAAATTAACGCCGTTGAGCAGATAGTCGACTTCTGTTGTGGCTCAAATGATTTCAGTTGTTTAATGAAAGAAGCTCTGGACAAATTGGGCAGGAAGTGCTCCTTCAAAAACTATGATATTATACAACCCAAGGTGCAGTTTTCATCATATGTTCTTGGCATTGCTTTCTGAGAAATGTAGCTTGAGGCACTTTTTGCTCACACAATCTAGATGCAAATTCTCGATTTTGCTTCGCATAATGACAGCTTGCCTTAGTTGAAGACTAAGGACCTTTGAATTATGTTCGTGACTGCATCTAGTTTTATTCCTTGTGTTGTTCTGTGTCAAAAACCAAACAAATCTTTATCTATGTTAATTTGATTTTACCATTTGCTTTTGATGTGAGTTAATAAGTAAACTCTCTACCATAAGTATCTTTATTTAGCTTAATCATTATGAGAATAGCTTATTGTGCATTTAATGCTTCATTGATGTCAACCTGCCACGTATTCTAACCCTGTTTATCATGGTTTGCAAAATAAAAACAGTTCAAAATCTTCTGCCGAACATTTTCCGAACATTTTCTAAGAGATCTAAAGGAAAATAGCCTCTGGGTAAGTATAATAACCACTGAGTATGGTACAGAAAGTAGGAAATCATAGAAGGTGTAATAGATATTCTTCTGAACCTCGTTTAAAAGAAAATAAAACTAGTTATGACATGAAACAGAAATGAACACAAAAGCTTGCAACTTCTCATAGGCCAAGAGAACTGGGCCATCTAAAGGTAGTAGTGATCTTGGTGGCCCAAGTTCAAAGTACATACAGGTTCAAAATTGCCTTTCCAAGTTAGATTAATGATTTTTAGCTTTAGCTTCTACTAGCTTGGTCCAGCATTTGTTTAGGATTTTAAAAGATCAAATTATTTCAGACCAAGCAATGTTCAGTAATGGGGGATCTTTGCATATCCATACAGGATAATCTATTACTGCAGTAAGTGCTGCTTAGAGATATATTTGAGCAAGTAGATTTTGCAAAGAAAGTTAGGGTAGACAAACCTGATCTTAGCAAAAAGCCATGGTTGAGCTGTTGTTGATTGGCTTGAAATATTTGAAGAATACTTTCAGGTATGACTTCCAACAGATCGGGTGAAACTAGTTGATATATTAAAAGTTGAGCATTGAAGTTCTGAAAGAAGGTTTAGGGAAAAAGGTGAATGACTTGTGTCTTTGGGAGAAACAGAAAGATGCATCTTATTGAAAGTTTCTTTTTCAATTTTTTTTCCAAGACAGTTTAAGGTTTATTTGTCTTAGCAATTAAAATCCCGTGGTTCTTTTTACTCTAGTCCTTGTTCTTGCCATTGTCAAACTTAGAGTTTCCTCGACTGACAAACCCCTGTATTATGATTCATGATTCTTGGTGAAGGATGCTTGTGATCAGTTTATGCTCTAAACCAGGTAATCACTTCTGAATATGTGCTTGATGGGTAGTTATATGTGATACAAATAGGAGTCACAATGTTGATCTGACAATCTGTCAGATCTGTTACAATCGTCCAAGATTCAATGCATTAGAGATGCAGTTCATTGCTCTTTGGTGTAAAGTAGGTTCAGAGGGATTCAAAAGGTATCCTTTCCATGGGTCGAACAATCACAGACGATTAACACTTCTTTCAATAAACAAGTCAATTGCTTAAGATGGTGGGTTTTGAATAAGAATGCTTTGTTTATTTTATAAAGGTCAGTGCTAGTGAGGCATGTCTCCTATCGACCAATGTCATTGCTGGGTTTGCTCTTTTTTCTTCGTGCTGCTTGGAAAGCATATTTTCTGGAAGGTATTGAATAGAACAAGGTTGTCGGACAAAATACCAATATTCCTGTGCAAGCTGCTTTTAATTCCATGGTAAGTTTGTGTGAACTTTAAAAAAGAAAAGGAAATAAACAAAACTCTGCTTTTCTTTATTTTCCCACACACCGAATATGCTTACAAGGTACGCATTTATAGGACAACCCTATCACAGTTCTGCCACAAGTTAAGGTAATAGAACCATGATTTTAGGGATTACGTAACCAACTCATATCCTATCTTTTATTTTAGTTAATCTATTCAAACTTGATTGATCATAAGCAATAAAATCCCATAATCATGGGAGATAATATCTTCGACAGTTTGGATTGTTGCTTCATGTGTCTTGTACATTAGGTTAGATCTGACATATACATCTCCGTTTTTTGTTCAAAGACAGGCGTTAGAATCCATGCTGAGGATAAAATCTTTAATTGAAGAAGAATCAGTAGCCAGGATTAGCTTTTGCTTTGTTTTTCTAGTGAGGGATCTTCTTATTTTATGTGCTGTTATAATTTATTGTTCTCCTATGGGATGATACTTATCTTTCCGTTGTTTTTTTTTTATATATATTGTATCTTGTAATATTGAGATAGGAAAAAGGAAGTGCTGAAAGGGAAAGTTTCTTTTGCTTAGGTTTAGGCATTGAAAAGAAATCGTCTTCCATAACTTTAGAAAATGTGGATGGGACATAAGGCTTGTTTCACCGCAAAGACTAACTTGGTTAACCTGAGTATCATTAATTTTCTCCTTCAGTGCAGCTAGAGCTTTAATATTTGGGGAAAAGAGGTAATGCATGCATCTTCATATAACAACCCTTCCTTTTTCCCTAAGTTTACTGCAAACCTAACAAGAAACTACTGGGGACATGCATAGTCAATTTGCTTCTTAGGCAGACATTAGAAAAAAGTATATTACTGGAAATTCATGATATTCGCATCTCTCCTGCAGTCTTTCTAAGGTAGTAGCAACTTAAAGTGAAGAAGCATGTCCTGGCCCAATTGTTTTACGTTCAATGGTGGATCATTTTTAAGTATATACAAGGCCGTAGCTGAAAGTAATAAACCTAAAACTGTTTAGGCTATCAGTTCATGATCATGTTCAAGGTCATTGCTAATGTTTTGGTTTTCATCCCACATCTTTTGATCTGATAAAGATTGCGTTTATTGCCACTCATGAGCAATGATTTTTAATGTTGAGTTTTCTCCTTTTAATGTTTTACTACTGTTCTTCAGAATGCTTTCAGTTTTGAGAAAAGGAATTGGATGAGTATTTGTCAAGATGAATTACCTGCTGGATCAAATCTTGTAAGTTGTGAAATAGGTGGCTTTCTGTGACTTTGTCTATGTTGTAGTGTTATATTTGAAGATCCTCACTATTCATCGTGAACAGATCATGGGGCTGAATCCTCCTTTTGGCGTCCATGCATCTCTGGCTAATACGTTCATTTCAAAAGCTCTGACATTCAGTCCAAAGCTCATGATTCTCATTGTTCCTAAAGAAACTAAAAGGTAAAATTTGTACTTAAAGAAGCTATAAGATAAACTTTGTACTTCAGAAATTCCAGAAAGTATGATTTACCTGCTCATTATTATTGTTATTATTTTCCTTCTGGCAACTACAGACTTGACAGGGGAAAGTTGCGATATGATTTGATTTGGGAAGATGACGAATTACTTTCTGGGAAGGTAAGAAAATTAGCAATTAGCATCTTCTCGCTCTCCCCTTCACTGCCTGCCAACCCCCACATAGTGATCTAATTTGAGGATGAAGTAAATCACTTACTCAAATAATTTTTTATCAGTCCTTTTATCTGCCTGGGTCAGTGGATGTGCTTGCTCAGCAAATCGAGCAGTGGAACGCGGAGACACCACCATTATATTTATGGAGTCGCCCTGATTGGACTGTCAAGCACAAAGCAATAGCTCGAGAGCATGGCCATATTAGCATGGAACTAGATGTTGACCGTATCAGGGAAATCAATGTTGAACCTTCTGTTTCCAATTATCTAATGGAAGATCAGCATGACTGGTACCATGATTTTTCTAGTGTCATGAAAGGCTACAGTGACATTACCAGTATGCTGGATGATTTGCCTGATGAATTTGATGGTACTCAACCTGATCAGCTCAGGGACACTCGTGCTGAGATGCAGTTTGATCGCCAGCTGAAGAACAGACGTCCTGATGCTGAAGATCATAGTGTCGACATGGATTGGGAAATTGTGTAGGCTCTGTTAAAACTCCTCGCCATGATTAGACAAATGGGTGTTCCAAGTGCCGTTTTCCGCTGTGTCCGCGAAAGTTCAAAAGCAAAGTTAACAATTACTCAATTCTACTGTCTCCGACTTGAATGAGCTTCAAAGCCTGTTAAAGTGTTGACAACTTCTATTTGCCCTGGAATGTTCGGTAACTTACTACCAAAATTGTACGACTTAAAAAGTATAATCCATTACCTTGGGTAAACTGTTCATACTGTTCATCTACGATGAATTATCTTGCGTTACTGAATGTGTTCTTTTTTGCTGTATTCTAGTTTCTTTTCTTTTTGAACTTGTGACAAACAGTTTATGTGCAACCTGAGCGTCATGAACTAAAAGCAGGAACCCAAAATTCAGCAATCAGTACTAAAGAAAGAATATATTTTTTGTTCGTACCGTTAGTCTCGTGCGTCATCTTCTCTTAAAGTTTTGTGAGGTCACTCTTTGCCTGTGGAGGGCCCTGATATTGTCGCTTTTTTGTTTCTTTTTTTTTGTGATTATTAATGTATAATACATTTTAGTTAGGAGCGTGGTAATTTTTTTTATGGTCTGTTTTTTTATTTTTAAATTGATTTTATTTTAGTGAGAATACGATTTTATAAGGTTAATGATGCATCTATTTTAGCAATTTGAGATTACACTATAGCAATCCAATAAATTATTACTTTGTTGGATTAATGGTTGTAGAGCGATAAACATGTCGTGTTGTGTCACTTCTGTGCTGTATCATTTTTTTGTTCATATCAAAGTATATATAAACTCATAAATTACACATTTAAATTTTATGTCATGTTTTTATCTAACCTGTTTGTTTGGTAATGTGTCAGTGTTGTGTCTTAACTCGTTTTGGAATATTTAATTTTGGATTAACATTTTATATAGTGACAATATAATAATTTTTTTACACTAGTAGTTATGAATTAACTTTTTAAGTGAAAATTACTAATGAAACATGATATTTCGAGAACATAAAGCATAAGCATATAAAAAGGAAACAACGTGGATTAACAAGTAATAGTCCAAAGCAATAAAATATTAAAATATTATAAAATAACAATCATTTGTAAGCCAACAATCATAGAGCAATTGACAACAAAAAAAAAATCATAGAGCAAACTAATCTTCATCAGCCAAGAGAATGTAAATTGGTGAATGTCCCAATCTGCCAAGAGAATGTAAATTGATGAATAAAGTATCATACCATGACTGGTTAGTACCCAAGCTTTATCCTTTAGCTAGCAAGTTAGTTTTGAGTCTTTTGAATTTTGACTTTGAAGCGCTTTTTTTTTATTTTTTTTTAAAGAGATTTTGGCACCAATACTCTCTTATTACTTATTAGCCTTTAGGAGGCAAATAATATTTATCATGAAAAAAGAAACAAAAAAGAGAGAAGTAAACTATTTTTAGTCTTGACATTAAATTGGTAGGAATCCAAAAGAAATTTGGTAATTAAAAATATAAGACCGAATATATATATATATATATTTTTTAATTTGTGAAGCTAACACAAAATAAATTTTTTGTTAAGTAAAATATGCTCTCAAGCTTCCAGAGTCATTATTCTAATGATAATGAAGCTCATAACAAAAGTTCAAAACGTTGTTGAAAACTATCCGGCTTGCTTTCTTTTATTTTAAGATAACCTTCTAGTGATAACACCAAAAAAAAATCCAAAATAGTTCATGATCAATCAAGACAAAAACAACAAAATAACATAGGCAACAATATTTAATTAGTCTAATTGTCGTTGCAACAAATATTCATTTATACAAAAGTTTATTCAAACTATAATTAAGCATGAATAACCAAGACAGGCATAAGATGGCATGAAGTTTATGGAATCTTGTGTGGATAAATGGTAGAAATTCCCTAAGCACATATCTCAGTTAGCTCAAAAGCCTGCATTCGAACAATTTCATCAACATTCAATTGCTTACTTAACGGTTAATGCCACCTATTCTTGTATATCTTGCTAAGAATAAGATATTCAAAATGATAATGTATAGTTTTCAATGACTCAAGAAACTCCCAAGCCAACAACTAAGCAGTGTCTCCAACAAGATAGAGGTATAAAATTGCGACAACAGAGACTTAAAAACCGTCAATTTTTCCACAAAAAAATGAAAGAGAAACAAAATCAGGGACAGAAATCACTAATAAAACAGTAAAGAAAAAAAAAAGGAGCACTGATCAGTTTGAACATGCATTATGTAGAAAAAATATGGGTAAAATGCACTAAACTCCCTTATGGTTTGGATTATTATCATAAAGCTTCCTCATTGTTTAAAAACCCCCAAAGAACCCTCTCGTTGTTTGGACTAATTTGGGCAATGAACAAAAATCGTCCAATTTGACGGAATTTCCGTCAAATTGGACGATTTCCATTCGAATTCCGTCAAATTGGACGATTTTCGTTCATTGCCCAAATTAGTCCAAACCACAAGGAGATTCTTTGGGAGTTTTTAAACAATGAAGAGGCTTTATGATAATAACCCAAACCACAAGGGAGTTTAGTGTATTTTACCCAACAAATATTGCTGTAATTCACTGCACACATAACGTAATTGTTTTCTTATCATATATATATATATATATATATATCACATCAAACAAGTTTTAAGTAGTTAATACAAAAAATATATACAATAATCTTCAATCAAAATGCAATAAAGAAGCCGAAAAGGTCAATGCCAAGTCAGTCTGTGTAGATGCATTACATAAACTACAACAAAATCAATTGAAGATATTTTTGCCTTTGAAATGAGCTAAAAGGGCAAAAAAGAGAAGACAAATTTGTAGCTGTGAAGACATGGACAATCACCATCAGTCACGCAAGATCAGAGCCTCACAAGTTTCATTATACTCCATTTCAAGGTAAAATGATCATTTTAAATTTGTTACATCATATTTAACTTTTTTTTTTAGCACACCACACATCCAAATTTTTTTTAAGCCATCTTCCAACCTCATAAAGCTTGCCCTAGTTGTAGTGGTCGTGGTTGGATAGTTGTTATGTTGCTGGTGGTGGAGCTATATAGGAGTGAAGGGTGGACAATTGCTCCCTTCAAATTTGATAACAATTATATAACGGCCTTGAAATTTTTCAAGATTTATCACCATATATTTTTTTTTCCACAAACGTTAACAGTTATATATATTTGATAATCCCTTGATAAATACAAGAATTAATTACAAAAGGGGCAACTACCCTCATTTGCTTCCTCACTAAATCCATCAGCCAAACTGGGAAATTTTGTTCCCATTCAATATCATTCACTAGCTGAATAGCAAACTGAGCTAGAGCATGGCTAATTTCATTTTCTGATCTAGATATGCACACAAACCTACAGCTTACAAAATGTGAAGTCAAATCCTGCACATCTTCCAGAATAGTTGCAATGGTACTATCATACTCATGGCCACTATGTATCTGGTCAATAACTGATTTGCTATCTGAATGGATTGTAATTTTAGTCCATCCTACCTGTTTAGCCATCACCATATATGCACCATATATGGAAGATTTATCACCATATATGCACCCTTGAATTTTATAACATACTCTCCTTTAGTTGGCTAATTACTCAGAATATCGTTGAAAAAAAAAAGTCAGACACATATGAGTCTGACAAAGATATACTGAAAAAGGCAAATTTTTTTTTTTAAACTCTGACACTGTCAGCCCGGCAGCCGGCAGAATTCTGCAAAAAGCTGGCTGCCGGGCTAAAAAAAAAAAATTCATCTTTTTGTGTGACAGATGAGGGCAGCCGTCAGAAAGGCCGTGAGGGTCCCTTTTGCTTTTCTTTTCTTTTGGGTGGACTAAAGTAGTGAGATATAAGCTGCCCAAGAAGTTTCTTGATTCACTACCAAAACGGAAGCTTTTGCTACTTACTTTCTTGTGTTGGAACCTTTTGATGGCCCTTTTATGTCCATTCCATGGCTTCCAGCATAGTACAATTCGGCCAATCGTACAAAACTATATACCTAAAATTAAAGAACCAAACAACAATTAGTCCAAACTTAAACCATCCTCCCCAGCAATCCAAATTAAGAATATAACCAAATCTGCATATATCATAGTACCAACCACTAGAAAGATACATGCTACTACTACCACTCAAAAACCAAAGCCAAAAGGCAAAACATTTTCAAGAAAAATGTTTCAATGAAAATGATTGATGTCATTGAATATTGAATGATTGAAGATACACTAATCGTCTCTTTGATCTGTTGACTTCATCTAACAGCGACTAAGATTTTCTTTTTTCCACTAAATTTTCTTTTATATATGATTTATGTGTTATCATTTGTTGGTAATTAATTTAACGAAAAGATGCTTTTTAGGCTAATATGTCTTGACAATGTGGATTACTTTTAAGGATTTTAATGAGATTTAGACCACACTTTTTATGCATTCAATCTAATTCACATTTTATTTCATTTGAAATATAATTATTTAAAACATAAGGGACCAAAAAATACGAAGTCAAACTTTTGACAAATTCTAACTTGATTTGACCGTTATATATTATAGTTTTGTATTAGTTGTCCTAAATTTGGCTAAAATAAAAAATTTGCTATCATAATTATTTTGGTCAAAATATCACAGATTAGTTTAACTCATAGACCAAATGTTGGGGGGACCAAAATTGCACATGTTCCTTTATTTTAATCATATTTGATATCCCAACCCTTTCTTTTATATTTACGCCTCAATTATTTCAAATATGAAACTCAATTAAAAAATAAAATCTACCACAATATTTGTTTTGACATGTACAAAATTCACTAAATAATATTGAAAATTTCACCCATTTTCCAATACAACAATTTCACCCTTTTTTTTATTAAAAACTTATGCCACTTGACGTACTAAATCCAACAATCTTTTAAGTTAATTAAATTACGTTTCAAATTTGGAACGTAAGAAAAAGATGAAAACAGATTTGTTAAATCAATAATTACTTCTATAGGATGTTAAACTAAAAAAAGGCTGTTTTAAACAAAAAATCTCATTCATTTTACAATAAGATAAGATGCACTAGCAGCATTTGTGTGACAGATGAGGGCAGCCGTGAGAAAACTTGCTAGGTATTTTCCCACAGCGATTGTTAGTGGAAGGTGCAGAGACAAGGTACATTTTTTCTTGAAAATGTTTTGCCTTTTGGCTTTGGTTTTTGAGTGGTAGTAGTAGCATGTATCTATCTAGTGGTTGGTACTATGATATATGCAGATTTGGTTATATTCTTAATTTGGATTGCTGGGGAGGATGGTTTAAGTTTGGACTA